TTTTTTTTTTTTATAAATTCTTTATTTAGACAGTTTTTAAATGTTTACAAAATACTTAGAAAAGTTGTTGCAAGAAATAAACAGTAAACGTGCACATACGCAGGTATGGGATATCACAGGTAACGTAGTGATTGCAAACACAGTATGTGACTTTATATGCAAATGATAACAATATGAAGTAAGGGGTAGAGAGAGAGTATGAGAGTCATTACGCAGGCGGGCTGCGGTGACATTTTGAAGTGTCCACTGATGTGGGTCTACTACTAGGACAAAATTGGTGGGGGACTCTCTTTCCTTCGGGTTTTTTCCCCCTTTTGGTGGGGGGGCTCTCCCGATCTTTGACAGGAGGCAGAGCGGTGTGGGAGGAGAGACGCCGACAGGTCACAGCGCTCTCCTACTGCACCGCTCAGCCGCCTGTGACAGTTTCTCTCCTCCCCGCTGGGACACAGAGCAGCGCCCAGCGGGGAGGAGAGAAAGCACGGATGCGCCGCTATTTTGGCCAGAAAATGGCACTTTCGCCATTTTAACAAAAGTGCCATTTTCAGCCGATATGTTTCGGCGGCTAATATATCAGTGCATCCCTAATATTTATTATACATTCTCTCAAAAACTATGATAGTAACAATTGATGATGATTATGATGATAAGGAGAATTACACCCTTACCTCAGCATTCCTTTTCATCGGGTTGCCAATTTCACATATAGCCTTTGATGCATTTTCATTGGATTGACACACCACCAACTTGTCCTGGGGTGAACAAACACACAGTGTATCAGAAGCTAAGAAACAGAACACATCTCATACTCTGGGAATAAAAGTAGTCCAAATTTATTTAAAACAAAAACCAAAAACTTTAATATATTGCAGCCTACCAATCCTTCGGCATAGTGGTTTCATTAGTTTCCTTTAAATGTTTTGTTCCTTCATTTTCACCTGGCGATCCTGCCAGTAACACTTCCTGTCCTAGGGTGACAACACTTACACACTGTACTGTATCTATGGAGGAGTAGCATTATAACCCCAGGTTGCTCTGCTGATTTGGACTACAAACCCCCTCTCCTCATCTCCATTACATATGGAGGAGAAGCTGTGTAGTCCACAGAAGAAAACCCTGGAAGACTGATAACATTGTTTAAAATATCAGTTTTATGCACAGGAATTTACAAGAACACAGGTTTATATCAGGATTAACAGGCACTGTATATATCTGTACTTGCAGAAAGTGTAATTTGGCTGACAAAACGAATGAAATCTAATGCAGCCGCCCCATCTAAATGCTGGTAAACTGTAATACATTATATTTTTGTTCTTGGATTTAGATATACTTTAAATTTGTATTATTTGCATGCTTTCTTCACCATGTCATGTCTGTCATACTGGAAAACCCAGATTAACCAAATTGTATTCTTTGAAAGAGTTTTGTATAAGAAGAGAAGCAGGACTCTCAAGTTCCATAGAATTTGGGATATTTGGTGGGAATCTTATTCCATGGTAACTATGCTTTACATTCACCCTAACCTTGCAGCAGCATTGTTGAACATTGAAGGTGCCATATTTTATACTTTCATTATATATGCTGACAAGCCCTCATTATAAGCCACACTCTGTATCTAAGACGGCTGTAAAGCTATCGTATTGTAATTGCACAACTGTTGTGAGAACAATAAAAAGTGGCCTGCTTGGAGGATCGGGTGAGTATATCTTTGTTATTTTAGCACCTGGACAAACACGAGCATTTAACCCTTGCAGTGCTGGGGTAGCCCCTCTGCAAGGGTTAAGAAAAAGTTTTGCTGGAGTTTTTTTTTTAACAAAAGATACATGCACTGAGACACATAATTTAAATTATAACATTAGGCTAATCTATTAAGTATTATTTGAGGCAAAACTTGTAAAGTACGCTAGTTTTATGGGACTAGGAAAGAGGAGTAACATTTTCTTGTCTTTTATAATGGCAGAAGAAAATCCTAAACATAATATAAGCCTGAGGCTATACCACCTTATGAAAGATTTACACTTAATAATTTATCATTTTAGTTATACATTTAAATATAAATTATAATTTATAATAAACTATTTCAAAATTAATATACTAATCATTTTGCAAACATGTTTCTGTTATGAATAATATGCAAATCAGAAAAATGAGTCTGAAATCACTTGCTGCTTGTACAATATTTCCCATTTCCTACAAACATTTACACATCAGAGACATCACTCAAAGATCATCAGTGATAAGAGACATTCATACCTTGAATGTCTCAAATGGACGGACACCTGAGTAAGACATGGTGTCAGGAAAGGTTGCAATCAGCTGGGCCTCATGGGCATCATCTCCATCTAGTTGTGGATTTTGTAGGTCAGAAGGAATATTATTTACTGTAATCTTGAGGATAATATCCTTCTGGTCAGTGAGTGCGAACACAGGAACATCGTTCTCACTGGAAAGAGAATAAGAGAAAATGAATCCGCTGCAGTCTGTGTTGTTAACACAAGAGGGCATACCTCACACATCTATTAAATAGAAGGCATTTCCTGAGTTACATATGATCTTCCTGCAATATTCTTTGACACATATATATATAATGCAGTGTTGGGCAGCATCCAAAGTATTGACTTTCACCAACCTTGAAAAAATGCTGCATGGCACGAGACAGTGGTACGAAGTAAATGTACTTTATTGGCGCAGGCTCATCCTTTATGAGAACAGTATGAGCACTTAGATGTACTATAATTATATAACCAGGGCCAAATTCAATTCCTGCAGCCTGATGATACAAGACCTTCAGTGCTAGGACCACCCCTCTGCTATGTTCACATCTTTTACAAGTATTTTCTTGGTTTGCTGGTCATAACGTCAGGTAGATTATTATGACAATGTCTATTTAAGATAATATAGTGATAATAGTAGACAATGTTTTATCATTTATCTTACCCATGCAGAAGAGTTTTTTTGCAGACAACCTCTTTTTTTTGTAAATTATTTTAATTCCTTATTTTGAAAAGTAGCATCAGATTTATGTTCTAACAGTGTGATTGACTGTGTCTTGTTCTGCCTTAGGCATTCCTCTTTAAATCATTCTCCAAAATCAGGATACCTGAAGGTTATACCATTAATATTATAACGTACCGGTATATTGCTTATATTTATCCTCCTTAAGTGACCCTGTCAGGCATATTGCTGTTCATGAGTACCACCAAAAAGTGCTGGTAAGAAAAGCCTTGACTTATGCCTGCTTAAGAAATAAGTCCCATTCTGTCATTTAAGAGTTCAATGTTGGAGCCTTTACTGGTTACAAAGGCCATAGCAATGGAGTACTACATAGTGGGGCCACACATTTGACACTATATAAAAACCATAACTTTCATGTTGCACAGGCAATGTTTATGTTCACGTCGGGCAAAGGTGTGAACACTCGGTCCAGGGGCTCCCTAAGTCCGCAGAAACTTCTGAGGATGATAAAAGGGAACTTTCCTGAAAATCACAGCAGCCACTTTAAAATGCCACACACAGGGCATATATGCCCGAACATGCAGATCAGCTGGTGGAAAGCGGGACTAGAGAATGAATATGGCTAAAAAGTTAAAATCACCTTGCTCCTCTTCTCCAATTCCTAAAGTGATTTTGTAATGTAAATGTAATTGCAGGGTAGAGTAGGGATGTATGGGAAAGGGAAAACATATGGTTTTAATCATTTGTGTAACAGCGTTTAATCCCTTGGTCTTTACTTTCTCATGCACTAATCATACAGCTTGTTTTTTGTTTTTTTTTGCTGGTTCTTGACCAGAGACACTGTTTTTATGAAAACATTTTCTTTTAAGAAAATTAAAACAATTCAGTAGAATATACCAAGAAAACAGCAATGCATCTATTGTCTCTGGCCATTTTTTTACCATTTCAGCATTATTTTTGATAAGATATTATTCAAGAGACTAGCAGAAAATGTCCAGCACAATTTAAAATAAAAGTTTGACCGTCATCTCTCGCCTCGACTATTGCAACTCTCTTCTTGCTGGCCTATCTTTAAACAAGCTATCCCCTCTTCAATGTACCATGTACTCATCCACCTTTTCATTGGCTACCACCCATTTCTGTCAATTCCTCCACTGGCTTCCAATAGCAGTGATTTTACAGCGGCTCCGCCGGGTTCTCAGTGTAATGACAGATGGTAACCAGGGACGCCCATCTGTCATTACACACAGAACCCGGCGGAGCCGCAGCGTAATGTCAGAACGGCGTCCCTGGTTACCTGGTAACCAGGGACGCTGATCTGAATCTAGTGGCCGAAGCCAGCTGTGTCTGGCTCTGCCCAACTGTCAGTAGCAGTAGCAGGCTGTCGGCCGGCCAATGGCCGGTCGTTCGGCCAGCTTCAAATTTCCCCTGGGCTCAGTGGAGCCGAAGCATATGCCTTCGGCTCGACTGAGCCCCTCGGCCAACTTCGGGAGCTGTTCGGGCTATAGTGAATATACCGTACAGCAGCCCTTCGGGTTCTTCTGAACCGAAGGGGTCCTGGGGCTGAACCTAGCCGAAGGATCAGCCGAAGCTACGGCTAGATCCTTCGGCAGCTTTGTGAATAGCCCCCTAAGTGCGTGATTTGCAAAGCCACACACAAGCAGCTTGTATTTACAATTGGCTTACTCTTTGGTCAGACCAGCATGGCACTGAAAGAGAACCAACAAGGCTATAAAATTAGAAACATCATTCATGCAACCTGCAGTCAAATTAGGCTAATGCCAACATCAGGACAGTAAAGGCATTACTCTTTTAGGGATGTAGGCATAGGTCTGTATGGACAGCCAGAAATTATTGTATGGGGTATGGACAGCCAGAAATTATTTAACCTGTCAATTAGTGTTGGCCAGAGTCATTATGAGAACAAGGCAATAGAGGGACGTTTTCAGGCACCAAATACAATTTAAAGCTAACAATTTATTAGGTAACCTGACCTCCATATTAAAAGAAAGGGATTCTCATAATTTGACAAGGTTTAACTTATCAATTTCAGGAATCTATAAGTGCAAATGTAACTGTAATAGTAAATAAAATTAGCAAAATTGATAATTTCAAAGAGCCAGTTTTGAGCTTCCTAAAATGTAAAGCTATATGGTATTTGTGGGTCAGGGGCCAAAGACATAGGCAAGACACTTTGTGATTTCTCATGACTGCCATAGATCAAGCAGAGCCTGGCATTAGATATTTATGAATGCCAGAGTCTTTTAGCATATTATCCAAGCATAAAAGGTTAACAAAATACATTTACTGATACTAGGGTCTGGCATTACCAAAGACTCAAATTATATTTAATAATTACATCAGGATGCACTGAGGAGTAATTCATTTACAATGGGGAAAAGAAAATGAGAACAGAAGTGGAGCTGATGCCAATAACAAACAATCAGGTGCCATGTTTCATTCTAAATTGGTTGCATGTTGGTTTTAATAAATCAACCTCTAAAATTAGCATTCAGATGTTACATTCCATTTTTTGCACTTACATGGGCAATGCTACAAAGTGTTCTGTGTTGCCAACACGAGAGTGGAAATTATAGTTCAACTGCAGGTTACTGTGACATATTTTGTCCTCTCCGCAGCCTTCTTTCAGAAAGTGTACCTGATCAGAGTAAAAACAACACATTTTGCATGAGACATGAATTTTGTTTATACTGTATAACAACTTGGGGCAGAAGCAGAGGTGCAACTAGTGACCTCAGGGCCCCGGTGCAAGAATCCATGAAGACCGCCCCCCCCCCCCCCCCCCAGAGAGCACCATAGACCTTGCACAGAGACTCTAAGGTGGGCTGTGGAGGGTCCCTTTCCCTGCACACATGCTGCTCCTCAACAGGAGGAAGAGGTCCCGGTACTGATATTAGCGGTTACCGGGATATTAAATATCATGGTAATCAGCGGTTACTACGGGCCCCGTTCTCCTGTCCTGGGCCCCCTCTAAGTGCCCGAGCTGCGACCCTGGTAGTTCCGCCGCTGGGCAGAAGTGCACAGCAAACTGGTGAACTGTAACCATGTCCAACACGCAGATATACAGGTGAAACTCGAATAATTAGAATATAGTGCAAAATTAATTACAGTAAGTGCTGCAAAAGGGGCCCAAACCAAGTACTGAGTACATATGCATGCTTGTACTTTTCAGAGGTCCGATATTGTTCTATGTACAATCCTTGTTTTATTGATTGCATGTAATAATCTACTTTTTGAGGTTGCGGATTTGGGGTTCTTGGGGTTTTCATGAGCTGTAAGCCATAATCATCACAATTATGACAAATCACGGCTTGAATTATCTTGCTTTGCATTTAATGAGTCTATCTCATATATTAGTTTCACCTTTTAAGTTGCATTAGTGAAATAAATGAACTTTGCACGATATTCTAATTATTCGAGTTTCACCTGTATGTGCAATTGTACAAATGCAGCACAATTATTCATGTAAGATCAACCACAAAGATATGTCGTATAAGATAATATTGGTATGATGAGGATTACAAATATGTAAAGAAGTTTACAATGTAATATGTATACAGTCTAACAAAGATCAGAGATCTATACTATATGATGTAGCAAATTATGAACTAGCATTCATACTAAATCACAGATGTTGTGGTTCAATTATATAACGAAGGGATTCTCAGAAGAAAGAACTGATGATGGGAAGGTCCAAAGGAAAAGGGAGATCAGAGGTTAAAGCAGAACTCTGGAGAAAACTATTATTAACCCTTGCAATGGTGCTATCTCCACACTGCAAGGTTTAGCTGCTTGTATTGATAATAACAAAGTTATACTCACCCGATCCTCGGAGGTGGCTGGCTGTGACAGTGCTACCTCCAGTTTGTCACCTCCTTCGGTGATGGAATATCCCTCAACATCCTCACGTTCTACACACAGTGTATATAACGTGATAAATGATGGGACCTTAGACTACTGCAATGGAGGGAGAGAAAGGCTCCAGGGACCGGTCTAAGAACAAGCTCTGAGGATCGGGTGAGTATAACTTTTTTTTTCCTTCCTAGACACAAATAAGCAATTAAACCTTGCAGTGTGGGGGTAGCCCCATTCAAAGGGTTAATAATCATATCCCCCTGGAGTCCTTTTTTAAGTTGGCTAGACAGCAATGCTGCAGCAATAAATGTGAACCTGCAGGTTATCAGGGGTCACTAGATAGAGCCTAGAAGCATATGAAATTCCTAAGCTCCTTGGCTCCCGCTACTGGCCATAATGCGCTGTGAATCTCGTACACACATCGGTTCGCTGTGCGAATGGTTTATAAATCACCACATAAGAGCTAAAGTTTGGTGTCATATTCCATTCAATGAGCTCCAAGAGTCAGACTCAGCTAAAGGGACTAAATAACAAGATGATGAGACATCAATGACTTGTAATAAAATAGTCCAATGTCATATATTTTTACTGAGTTAGTCCCTCAACAATGATACGTAGAAACACATTAGAAAAGATACACAGAAATAAAGACAGCTTATTGAACATATAAGATGTTGAATGTCTGATATGCTGAGATATATGCAAAGAAGGCTCCCAACCGTCAGGCCAAAATGTATGTTTTCCAATTTAATATGACTAAACTAGACTTTCTGACTTCATTTTAATAAACAATGTCAATTTCACTTGAATACAGATAACTGGTGACAAACATGTATATAAGACTATGCTTTATTTTTGCATTCTATATAAAAAAAACAAGTGACTGTATTATATATAGCAAGTTATGAATATATTTAATGCAGTGGGTTTGACCACTTCAGCTCTTGTACCTGTATACCCCCTTATGGGCCAAAGCAAAGGTCCTGTTTATTTGATGATCACCTTGTCATAATTTACGATAATACATACATTGTTTTTTTTTCCAGGGACAAACTAAGCTTTTTTGGGACAATCTTGTCTTGCAAAAATTATATATTTTTTAATGTTATCTATAGACAAAATGATTTTTAAAAAAGATGAAAAACTGTTTTTTTTTCTACTTTATGCTAAAAAAGTAGTTTTAATGTAAATAAAAAGTATACAAATTATTCTATAATTTGCCCAATTAAAATTACGTTTTGGTACAAAGCACGGCAACCGAATGAATGAAAACAAACAAAAAAAATGTTAATAATGAAAATCAGCAGAAAAATAATAGTGGAGAAGGGAAGGAAAAGTTCAGTAGGATGATTAGGGTAACTAAAGGTTAAGAGGGGTTAAATAGGAATACATTTAAATCACATTTATTTAAAAAATATATATTTACTTTTTACTTGCAAGTTTTTTTTTAATCATATAGTTACATAGTATTTGGGGTTGAATAAAGACATACGTCCATCAAGTCCAACCCATATAGGTCCATGCATCATCTCATTCTTAGGAATACTTGTATCCCTGAATATAGCATATGCAGATCACACATTTGATCAACACATGAATGAAATAGTAAATATAATGTAACAATAAATTACTCTTTTACACAATGACACCGGCAGACTATCCTGTCATTTTACACAGGGGTGACAGCAATTTCACAACTGCTCCTTCTATGTAACACAAATAATTTCCCTGTCATTTTGGCAGCCGGTAATTGCCAGTAATAGCAGTGGCAGTGGAAGAGGTGCTAAACATATGAAAATAGTCCCATAAGCTTTGTTGAAGTTTTAGGATGTACCTCCTATCCAGGGCCGGATTTACTCCACCTGCCGCCCCAAGGCCAGGTTCCACAATACACCCCCCCGCGCCGCTAGCCCCCCTCCCCATATCGGGCCTGCTCCTATCTTTAAAGAAGAACTCCAGGGAAATGTTTTTCTTAACCCTTGCAGTGGGGCTTCCCCTGCACTGCAAGGGTTAATTGCTCATTTTGGTCTAGGAGCAAAAATAACAAAGTTATACTCACCCAAACTTTGGAGCCAGCTGGCTGTGACAGTGCTCCCTCCTACCTGTCTTCTCCACTGCTGCAGCAATAGTATGTCCCTCAGCATCCTCATGTCCTATACATGTATATGACATGATGACTCACGGGACCTTAGACCACTGGAGTGGAGGGGGCGACAGGTTGGAAGGACTGGTGTAAGAGCCAGATCCGGTGAGTATAAATTTGCTATTTTTGCACATAGACCAAAACAAGCACTTAACCCTTGCAGTCTGGGGGTAGCCACGCTGCAAGGGTTAAGAATATTTTCCCTGGAGTTCTTCATAAAGGTCCTCAAATGGTAAAGTATGAATATGTGCTAAGATCAGGGCTAGGCAAACTCTGGCCCTCCAGCTGTGGTGCAAGTACAAATCCCATTAGGCATTGCAAGACTCTGACAGCCATAGGCATGACTCTCAGAATGCATGATGTAATTTGTAGTTTCACCCTGGTATAGACAGTATATTATTAGATTTAGGTTCCTAAGGCTTATCCTATAGGTACAACTTATGTCTGTCACAGTGGAATGCCATCTGGCCCCTGTTGTTGTTGAATGCACAAGCTTAAACAGTATGTAGTATGTAGAACAATACAAATAATCTAATAGAACATAATTGTATCTGTGAGTGAGTGTGATGAAACATTATCAGTACAGTTCAGCCCTCATAATGCAACCATTTATATCTCAATATACTAACCTCAGTGTTGTAGACATTGGGCTCTTCCTCACTGAGGATAGGCATGAGAGGGGGCAGCGACTCGTCTGCAGACTGACGCTTGTGTCTTGCTTCTAGGATATTGTATGTCAGAGTCACTGGGATCGATCGAAGTTTGTCTCTAACGTCCTCCTGTTAGTGATTGAGGAGATCAGTAAACCAGACAGGTATACAGCATTAACAGAATTAACACATCAGATACACAGGTATATGACATATATATAGGGGTCTATTCACTAAGCTGCCGTAGGCAGCCGAGTGACTAACCGACCCGAAGCGAAGTGAGCCGAACGCTGTTCGGCTATTCACTTCAGGCTGGTACGGCTAATTCCAGCCATTTATCGGCTGAAATCAGCCGTACATCGGGTGGCTTCGGCTGGCTTTGGGTCGGCCTACCCGAAGTGCAGAAGGAGTTCGACTCAGCTGATCCAACATCTGCATCGGCTCAGCCGAACCTCCGGCAGGCTACTCGCTGCTGTTCGGCCTATTCACATAGATGCCGAACAGCAGTGAGTGAATAGCCGAATGCCGCCAAGCGGCATTCGGCTCGGCTGTTCTACTCGGTCCCTCTGTGGGACCGAGCAGAACAGAAAAATAGTTTAAAAAGTAGAAAAAAATTAATAGAAAACGATTGTGCGGAGCTAGCAGTGACAGCTAGCTCCGCCCAACTGTTTTCTATTGGCCGGCGGTTCTGCTGCCGTCAAAAAAAAGTAAAAAAAAACATTTTCACCATAGGAATGCATTGTTAGATTCCTATTGGCTATTTCAATTTGCAATATCCAATAGCAAACTAGCTATTGTACCCGCCCTCTGCTGCTGTCAATCACTAGTAGGGATCTGATGGAGAACTGCAGCAGTGGGCGGGTACAATAGCTAGTTTGCTATTGGCTATTGCAAATATTCACTAACGTAATCCTGTGTTCCCTTTGAATACCCAATCATGCATGAGAAAAATTTCTGATAAAAAACACGATTTTTGCTAGCACATAATTAAGTATTTAAAGTGAACCCTGCTTCACATTATTTACTAACATTTAAAAATGAACAGCCTCCTCTCCTTTAGTAAACCAACCTTACTAAGTAAATAAAGTGTTTAGTATAGGTCACCTGAAGTTGGAATATGGCGGTAGTACAGCGGCTGGAGGACTGTCTGTGGAGTTCTACTGTGGTACTGAACTGGTGTTCTGGATCATTTGGTTGGCGGTTTATAAAAGAAACACGACTGGACTTCACTTGTTGTCTCCTAGTTGCTTCAGCCTCAAATACACATCTTAAAACTAAAAGAAATAGAAAATAAATGGATACAAAATTATAACTAAACATATTTGATAAAATGCATTTTTTTTTTCATTTGAACAACATACAATAAGATAGCTGAAATATCTAAAGCTTCCGACTTACAAAGTAACTTCAAAATACAATTTTATGGAGGTGCTCAAAATGGTCAGCATCTGATCTTAAGACTACAGTGGGAACTACCGTATGTATTAACTGGGTTCCTGTCTTCATCTGCCAGCAATTTCCATTCATACAATGTATGTATGTCATGTTGGCATGTGTGGCCCATGCCTGACTCAACTCACTAGAAAAGGACAAGGCTTCCATAGAAGACTGACCTTTACTGTACGACAGTCAGCTTTGTAAATAATCACCAGATTCATGCATTGTCTTAGAAGTGCAAAATGATGTACTTAATATTATTAATTTAAATAATAATTTACTTATTAAATTAAATAATAATCAAAAAGTAACATTTCATCAACATCAATGTGTCAAAGCTGCCCCTTGTCTAGTTTGCAAGACTTTCATACTTGAGACATACCACGACACCCACATAGCTCAGGCAATGGAGCCTCTCCCAGTCTTCTGCCCACTGTCTATCCACAATTTCTGTTCTTACCCAGCCCCATCTGCAGTGTGGACAAGTGTCCATACTACCCCTTACAGCCCCTGAAACACTCTGCCCTGCTTGGAGATGGTGGTGCAGATGGACGGCAGGGTCAACTCCTACAATGCGCAAATACCTTGGAAGAAATTGCTGTAGCTCGCGGTATACTGAGCTTTGGGTGATGTGAGGACGCTAGTTTGTGTCCTCCCGTTACCCTTAGGAGAACTATGGGGGAAAGCCCTGACCCCATAGTTCTCCTTTAAGGTCAATCAGTTTTGCATTATTCCCAGGTAGATTTCATGCAAAATCAATGCTGATGAAACTATTACTGAGAGTCCTGTGCTGGTGCTTTACTGAATTGTGTGGATAATCAAGCAGCAGTAAGCCTGCCCTTTTTACCTCCACCTATGTATGAGGACCAGAATGGCGAGGTATATGGCTAACAATTAGCTAAAACTATGTAGGCCCTATCAGATCCAGGTGCTTGCCATGCAAGTGGATTAGCTGACACTCCATTGTGTACAGGGCCGCCGTCAGGGAGGGTACGGCCGATACTCATGTAAGGGGCCTGGGCAGCCTCCGGGACCCGCCCGGGACCCATACATGAGTATCGGCCGACGGTGAAGTGCGAGGAGGCAGCCGGGCCCCCGCAGCAGCCGGGGATGGAGGATTGGCCCTAGCAGCTCCAGCAGCTTCAAGACAAGCTGGGGCCCCATCAGCAGCGCTGCTCGACTGAAGGCGGAAGTGACGTCACGTTGGTGGCGTGAAGTCACTTCCGGTCAGTCCAGCGGGTCGGGTGTGCAGGTCAGTGGCGGATCCGAGGGGGGAGCCGCTGCCGTCCTGAAACTGACAGGAGGATAGCGGCTGCGCTCTCCTCCCCGCCTACCGCTCGATCATCGTGATCGAGGCAGGCAGGGAGGAGAGAGAAGCCGCTGTCCTCCTGTCAGTATCAGGATGCCAGCAGCTGTGTGCGTGGCCGAGCGGAGGATCGGTTAGTATCACTGATATTTACCGATCCTCCGTGTACAGCACAAACACTGGAGTGATCGTCTGATCACTCCAGTGTTTGTAAATAACTGGGGACACATATGTATCCCCCCGTCCCCCCTCACACACACACATAACATACACGTGCAACATATTGTGGTGCACGCCAGGCACGTGAGCTGCAGTGCGTTGTTAGAATGCATCGCAGTGCATGATTTTTTTCTATCGTAAAAAAACATTAATTTAACTGTGGCAGCGCATGGCAAAGCTTTGTGACGCAATGCCGTGCGTTGTAATACCTTGTGTTGTAATGAAATATACGCCTGTATCATTTTATCACAACACAAACACCAACACAGCGCAAACATCATTTATAACATAAATCGCTTATTTACAGTTTAGGGTTCCTTCATTTATTTTTATAATCTCCCTTTCCTCAGCCTCTCATTGATGTGGGAGTATTGCTGACTTTACGTAAAATGTATAGCTGGTGGTATTCTGCATTCCTGTATAATGATTATACAGGAATGTAGAATACCACCAGCTATACAGGACTACAAATTCCAGCACTGGCGGAACTACCGGGTTGCAGCGGTCGCAATTGCGACCGGGCCTTGGCGTTCCGCCTGTTGGGAGGGGGGGGGGGGGGGCAAAAAGCTATTTACAAAAATGAAATTAATACAAAATATCATAAAGACAATTATGAAGTAAACTTCAAAAAAAGCTATCAGTAATTAATAATTCTGCCTCACAAGGCAGAAGTAAAAACTACTCACTGATCTTTGGATTGTAGGTTGCAGGGAAGGCACTATAGCTGAAACATGCTCTAAATTCCACACTGAAATGAGAAAGAAAAGCCTTGACAATATAGAAGCAACACATAACACTCAACACTGAACCTATCAAAGCCAGACAGTGATCTTGCTTGAACAAATCTTTCCAGTAAAAAGTAAATGACTGCCTTCTGGAATAATTTGACTCATCCACAGGGCACTTTTTGCTGTATGCAGATCGGTGGTTCTAAAATGGGTCTCCTGGTATCTTGGAACTCAGTAGTCTAACGATTGCTTTCTAAAAAGCATCAAGGCACCTTTAGCAAAAATGTTATATTATGGAATTGCTAGTTGGACTATAGGGCTGGTTCACTAACCGCGCCTATCCAACCCCCCTTCTGCATCATTAATCCACCCTAACTTTAGGTATGTGCCTTAGATCCTACTTATTATTTATTTCCATGTTCTATACAATTTAACCCCTTCCTGACTGATGACAGGATTATCCCGTTACGATCGTTCAGTTAGTTAATGTCACGGAATAATCCCGTCATGCGGTACAATGAAAGGACCAGCGCTCATTGAGTTACTGCTGTTGATGGGTCCCTCAGGGTCTACAGCAGACCCTCAACAGCAGATTAGGAGGTTACAGTCCTGTGATCATATCAATAGCTGATCCCTGTAATCGCAGAGCCGTGACAGTCACAGAGCTGGCAGCAGCTCACTGTGTTGTGCACCTGCGAGCCAGCTGTGTGTTAGAAAAGTGATACTAAGTATCTCTGGGGAAAATACTGTCTTCTACTCAGAGATACTATGGGGGTTATTCACAAAGCTAGCCGAAGGATCAGCCGTAGCTCCAGATGATCCTTCAGCTAGCTTCAGCCTCCTGAGCCCTTTGGTTCAGTAGAACAGCTCCCGAACAGCTCAGTCAAGCCGAAGGCATATGCTTCGGCTCGACTGAGTGAAACCCGAAGCAGTCCGAGTGACCGGCCATTGGCCAAAAGCCTTGCAACTGACAGCTTGGCAGAGCCAGCCATGATCTCACAGCTGGCTCCTGCCAGTTGCAATGACAATTTAGCGTCCCCTGGTTACCAGGTAACCAGGGGATGCTGAACTGTCATGAGAGCTCAGTGGAACCAGCCTTGATATCACAGCCGGCTCCGCTGAGCTCTCATTGTAATGAGAGCTCCGCACAATCATTTTCTACTTTTTTTTTAACTGTCTTTCTATTCTGCTCGGTACCATAGAGGTACCGAGCAGAATAGCCGAATGCCGCTTGGCGGCATTCGGCTAGTCACTAACTCCTGTTCGGCCCTTTTGAAAATAGGCCGAACAGCAGTGAGTAGCCTGCCGGAGGTTCGGCTCAGCCGATCCAGATGTTGGATCGGCTGAGTCAAACTCCTTCTGCACTTCGGGTCGGCCGAACATGCTGAGCATATTCGGCCAACCTGAAGCCAGCCGATGTATGGCTGATTTCAGCCGATATACGGCTGAAATGAGCTGTACAAGCCTGAAGTGAATAGCGTTTGGCTCACTTCACTTTGGGTCGGTTATTCACATGGCTGCCTTTGGCAGCTTTGTGAATAACCCTGTAAGTATCAAAGCCCCTGTAAGTAAAAAAATAACCCCTTAGTGCCAACTAGTCTTTTAAAAAAAAGAAAGATTAAAAATAAAAATTTTCAAATTTGTTTTGCATTTTTTAGGAAAAAAGTTTTAAAAAGTCAAAAAAGTTCAACAAATACATTTCTTAAAATTATGAGAAAATGTAGTGCCGAGGAGGTTATTAAAGATAGGAAACAAACATACTACGTTCTAAAATTGTTCCACACTAAAATTGTATTTCACTCCTTGTATTTTGTGACCTATAACTCCCAAATTAATCTGAAATCTCAGACATATGGTATGCCCTATAAATCAGGACGAATAAAATAATTTATTATGAATTACTTTCTGTTAGTTACACTAATTATGTAGATATTATTACTGCCAAAACTGTGAAAAATATAAAAAAATAACCCCTTAGTGCCAACTAGTCTTTTAAAAAAAAGAAAGATTAAAAATAAAAATTAGAAAGATTAAAAATTAGAAAAATTAAAAATTAGAAAGATTAAAAATTAGAAAGAATAAAAATTAGAAAGATTAAAAATAGAAATTACTTAGTAACCAGGGGACGCTGAACTGTCATTACAATGAGAGCTCAGCGGAGCCGGCTGTGATATGGTTCAGTAGATATCAAAGCCCCTGTAAGTAAAAAAATAACCCCTTAGTGCCAACTAGTCTTTTAAAAAAAAGAAAGATTAAAAATAAAAATTTTCAAATTTGTTTTGCATTTTTTAGGAAAAAAGTTTTAAAAAGTCAAAAAAGTTCAACAAATACATTTCTTAAAATTATGAGAAAATGTAGTGCCGAGGAGGTTATTAAAGATAGGAAACAAACATACTACGTTCTAAAATTGTTCCACACTAAAATTGTATTTCACTCCTTGTATTTTGTGACCTATAACTCCCAAATTAAACTGAAATCTCAGACATATGGTATGCCCTATAAATCAGGACGAATAAAATAATTTATTATGAATTACTTTCTGTTAGTTACACTAATTATGTAGATATTATTACTGCCAAAACTGTGAAAAATGTGTGTTTTTTTTATTATTAAAAAAATAAGAATGTATACATGCATATGTTACATCAAATTAAAGCCCATTTTGTCCTTTAAAACATGGTATATAATATGTGTAGGTGCAATGCACAAGAAGACGGATATTATGGTTAAAGGAGAACTATGACATGAGTGATTTCCACTCACGTCATAGTTCTAAGCCGACCTGTGACAATGAGACTGTCACAGGTCGGCTCAGTAGATCGGGAGGTGAGGGAAAACATACCAGGTTCCCTCACCTCTCGATCCTGTCACGGCTCTCTGCCGTGACAGGGGGAGGGGCTGGATTCCCCTCTCCCCGCTCCGATCTGCCAGCGCTGACTGGCGGAGCAGACAGGGGAGAGGGCGGGTACAGCTGGCTCTGCCTCTAGATAGGCAGAGCCAGCTGTCACTCACGCAGCTGGGCGGATCCCGTCATCTAAGTCGGGATCCGCTCCAGGTGCGGCGTCTCAGTATACCGCGAGCTGTAGCTCGCGGTATACTGAGCTTAGGGTGACGGGAGGACGCTAGTTTGTGTCCTCCCGTTACCCTAAGGAGAACTATGGGGAAAAACACTGACCCCATAGTTCTCCTTTAAACAAACACATAGCAAAAGTTACAAAATTGGTTGTGTCCCCAGGAACGAAAAACATTTCTGAAGCTGTGTCACTAAGGGGTTAATACCTATATGCTTGATAATAGGTCTCTGTAATATCTCTGTAAGATCTTCATAATATTTATGTACCTTGTAGCTCTATGCATGATATACCGCAAACCGTACTGCCCTCTGTATGTGAGTGACACATAGAGGATTGTTCTCTTTTTATTTGCACTGGATGTGATTATATTTATTTCCCCTTTGTACTAATGACTACAGCTGCTCATGGATTTAGCTATGTATGTATATTTTTTCAAAATCAATAACAATGTGTGTTTGTAATCTGACAATATAGCATCCATAATTTAAAAATATGTGAACAAAGAAAACATAATAAAACAGGACATAATGGGAATTTATTACAAAGAAAGGGAATGCGAACAAAACATGGCAAATAGCACAATTTCATGTATGGAGCATGCACAAAGCTACTTGCATTTAGTGATGCTAATTTTGTGTACTTGTAAACTTTATTAACGATCATGAGGATGAAATCTGATGCAGGCGTGATATACAAATTAGCAAAACTCATGTGCACAAATGTATATTGGTGTGGTACAGAACCTTTGATATGATGATGGTGCAACTGAATGCCAAATTCTCAGCAATAAAAATCCATTCTTACCAGATCCCGGGGCCATTCTTGCAGCTCTGCTGCTCCAAGTCAATGTTTTGCGGAGTAACAGTGACCTCTTTATTAACACGAATAACAGTGCGAGATCTGAGATGCAGAAAAGATAAACATTATAGTTGGCAACCTGACTTAATAACTGTGTAATTAAATATAATGATTTATTTATTTAACGGTGGACTCTTACATATAATGTTAAAGGAGAAATATGGGGTGAGTGAAAAACACTCATAATTCCTCCCCTCTCCGATCCTCCCCTCTCCGATCCTCCAGCGCTGACTGGAGGAACTGACGTGGGAGGGGGCGGGGACAGCTGGCTCTGCTTTTAGAGAGGCAGAGCCAGCTGTCAATCAGTCAGCAGGGTGGATCTTTACAGTATTGTGGGGTGGATCTCGACAGTACTCGGCGTAGCTCTGCGCTCTCAGCATATAGCGGGCAGTAGCCCGCTATAAACTGAGTTTTGGGTCACCGGAGGACATTAGTATATATCCTCCTGTGACCCTGAAGAGAACTATGGCTAAAAAGGGTTAGGCCATAGTTCTCCTTTAAATGACATAGTTTATCATTAGGAACTGCTGAATTAATTAATTGTTTCAGCTGTAATATGCTAAAAGGGAGCATTACACATACAACTAATACATTTTTGAAATTCAATTCTGGAATTTCTTGAAGTGTTAGAGGCATGGAGCATTAAAAAAAAAAAATGTTTTTCCAAAGTGAGGGTTGTTCTATTTTTAAAATCACACTAGAGACATAATTTATGACCAATGATATACAGTTATGCAGGAGCTCACCTGTAAAGGACCACTGTGTCAGATAAAGATCCAACTACCAGGTCTGGATATGAGTTTCCATCAATATCAAGGCCACCAGAAAATGAATAACCAAAGGTAGTTACCCCAACACTCACTCCATCCAAGATCTGTGGAACAAAGTAAAAAAACAGCTCAAAACTAAAGTTAAAGGGGGCTATTTTAGTTTTATAAATTGCAAAATTACAGTGCTTTCCATTTTCTTTTCCACACTTTCTACCATTACAACCAATAATCAAGACAGGTAAAATTCCAATTAAATCTATTAAATTCACCTAACATACATATTGCACAAAGGTGGACCCCAATCAACTTTTTATGAGACCTATGAAGGTTCCAGAGCTCATTTAGGCATCTCACAGCAAAAAAGGGGAGGATACTTAACCAGTTAAGACTTTTTCACCTTCCTTTTTATCTGTATATAAACTAAAAAAACCACATATACTTCTATTATTCGGGATGCTTTGTGTAGTAGTATACAGTCCTGGGTTAATACCAGAGTGTTGCACTACAGTGGAAAGGTTCTAGGGTTGTGAATATGTAAAACAACAGTGATCTGGAAATGTTCTGTTTCTTGTGCTCTTTCTAGACCCAGACAGTTTGTACACAATGTTACATAGTTACATAGTTACATAGTTACATAGTATTTGAGGTTGAATAAAGACATTAGTCCATCAAGTCCAACCTATTAGGATCTCATTCTAGGAGTACCTGTACCCCTGTATATTACGGTCCCTTAAGAAATCGTCCAAAAGTTTCTTGAACAATTCCACATTCTTTGCTGAAATCACCGCCTGTGGCAGTGAGTTCCAGACCCTAACTGATCTTACTGTGAAGAACCCCCTTCGCCCCTTGTGCTGGAATTTTTTTTCCACCAATTTTAGGTGGTGGCCTCTAGTTTTTGTAATGGAGTTAATTTTAAACAGTTTATCGCTAATGTTGCTGCCACCATTGAACATTTTGTACATGGAGATCATATCCCCCCTCAATCTCCTCACCTCCAATGTGAACATGTTTAAATTTAGTAGCCTTGTCTCGTAGCTCTGGTCCTCCATACCCCTAATTAGTTTGGTTGCCCTCCGCTGGACTTTTTCCAACTCAAGGACATCTTTTCTTAGTACTGGTGACCAGAACTGGACCGCGTACTCCAGATGAGGTCGAACCAATGATCTATAAAGTGGCAAAATTATAGACTTGTCCCTGCAATACATCCCCTTTTTAATACAGGACAAGACCCTGCTAGCTTTGTTTACAGCAGCCTGGCACTGCAAACTACCTTTCAGTTTGTGGTCTACAATGACCCCCAAATCCTTCTCCATTTCTGACTTCCCTAGCGGCATACCCATAATTGTATAACCCATTTGTTTATTTTTAATTCCAAAGTGCATTACTTTGCATTTATCGACATTAAACCTCATCTGCCACATTAATGCCCACTCCCCTATTTTATCCAGGTCCTCCTGTAATGTAATGCTGCAACAAGAGGCAATGGTGTTTTTGGAATGCTCCAACTAAATTTTCCTCTGATATTCAGATATTGTGCATCTTTGAAATATGGAATAATGCCTTTTATTTAGCTTTGTATTACCTGTGCTGGTTTGGTTACTAATCCTGTCCGGCTTCCATGATATATGAATAGTTTCCCACTGCCATCAAATGGTGCCCCAACAGCAATATCTGTAGACAGAAGTAAACAGGTTTTATGTTACTAACAGTTTCAGGTTAGGAAGAGGCTGAGGACAGTCTGGCTGAAATGTAATTTAAAGGAACTCAGTTGACATAAAGTCAGCTGTGGGTAGTTACATAGGAATCCTCATTATTCCAATTATAGAACACACGCCAGCCGACGACTGGACAATGAAGGAGCAGTAGCACATTGAAAAGTTCCTAACTTTGCTCTCTCCTCCTCTAAATAAAAGTTAGTGTCAGCACATTACCACTGCAGTGGAGTCTAACTTGCTACAAATGTTGACTCTTCCTCCAGGGCTCCTGTGCTGACAATTACATAAGGCTGATATCAAAAGAGGTTTATGTACTTTTAGCAGCTGTATTTTTATTAATAGATTCAGTGCTGGATTAATGGTGGCTTTTTACATTTGAATGAAATTAAGCATTAACATAAATACCCATATTGTAAGGTAAATGAAATCTCCAACAAGGTGAGTGAAACCTGTTTGTAATGATTCCAGCAGATGAACTTGGAGATTAAGGTGCAGATAATCTGCACAGCAGCCATGCACTCTGCACATAACATTACTATTTAAGGGAGTTTCTGTGAAGCTACTTATTGCAAAATAGCATTTATAAAGTTACTTGCTATACATATATAAATATCATACACAATGTGTGTTCTCAAGACATTATGTTTACCTTTGAATCCATCCTGATTTATATCCCCCAAGCTGCCCACAGTCAACCCAAACATGGAACCATCTGTTCCGTTCAGTCGTATAGGAGGAGAGCTATCCAGTTTCCCATCTTTATTCATGTAGACATACACGGCACCACCAATTTCCTCTTTCCGGGAGAAGAAATTGGGAGCACCTACCACTAGGTCAGTCCAGCTAAATAAAACAGATAATTGTAAATATGAATGAAATATAAAAAGTAAGAAATCAAAGAAAAGGTACAACACATTAGAAATATTGATAAAATATAGTGTATTGCTTTTAAAGGATCAATAAACATAATTATATAAATGTGGCTTTAATCAAATAGCTGTAAAAAGCGTTTAGTAAGAAAGCTATAAATGTTTTAGGAGTATGTCAGTACTGAAGAAATTTAAAATAGGCAAGGTTTATCACTCACGGCTGACAGCTACCCAGATAAAAGCTGCCATGGGTCACTTATAGCCTCTTTTAGCCTAAGATAGCTAAGAACAGAGTGAAAGGGGTAATGTACTGAATGAAAATAGGCTTATTTGCTTTGTTTTTTTGCAAGGGAATTTACCTTTAGCTTAGTGAATAAGGGGAAGCTATGCTGACTTCCATCATGCAATCACATGCAAACAAAAATACAGTTTTTGTTTACTGTTCTTGCACGGTTCTTTGCAAAGTGAATTTTTTTAACCACCTTCACTAAACTAAGGGAAAATTCCCTTTCTATGTGAATAGCCTATTTGCCTCTAGGAAATCAACCCAAAGTTTGCCAATATCATATTGGTCATAGATTTCCACCTATGTGCCTGTAAGGAAACTTGTAATTCATCTTTCAAATTGGTGTCTGTTTATAAAAAATAACTTGTAATATGTGCTTATAATTTACATCAGCATCATCATTTATAGACTATCACTGATCACCAGCTTTGTAAGAAGTCACAGTAAACAAGGACTGCAGGAACTTTCAATAACTGAACACCAGCACAGGTCTTTAGCTGTTTTGTACATTCTGTGTTCCCCTCGCACAAGTCATATTAAAGGATCAGTTCACCAAGAAAGTATTTTAGATATAGGTGAAATCTGCTAAGCTGAATCAGCCCCTTCCTCCATATATATCTTGGTGCGCAGACCCAAGTAGCTCAAACATAGACATTTCACTAATAAAGTCCATAAAATATATAGGAAATATTCAGATGGCTTAACTTGCCAGCATCTACTAAAAGCTGAAACATCACCTTTGTAAGGACTGATCCATTAGCTGTTATTTGCAAATAGCCTATGATCAATTGGCGCTTACCCCTGGTGACTCTCGGTCACAAGCCCTACAGGGTTTTTAAGGAGCATCTAAGCTTTATTGTTTTCAATCATAGTATAATAAAATGTGATGAAGTGTTTGTTGGTCTTACTTACCCATCACCATTGAGGTCCTCAACTGCTACAGAGTAACCAAACGATGAGGCAAGAGTCTCTCCCCATAGCGTTAGCTCTGGAACAAGTTGGCTTCCACTCTCTTGGCGAAGAACAACCACGGCCCCTGTGTGATTTGCCCGGGGGGCACCGCTTACAAAGCTCAGCTTGTTCTTCCCTGTCACCCCCCACCCTGAGTCCACTGAGAAACCTGGAGGAATCAGGGGAAGAGTCAGCAACTTTTAATAATCAACACTTATAAACTAGAGGGAGCATGTCACACAAGAGATGTTAGAGAAAGGAGAAAGCACTGAAGGTTACTGATTACTGGGAGACCCATCTATAGTAAGAAGCCATGGTACAGATGGAGAGCATTAGAGGCTGCAGTCAAAGGCATTATGGTTTCTTTGATTAAGAAATCTTACTTCTGTATTTGTGAATATACTGTAATTGTCCATGTACATAGAGTTTTTCAGCCCTTTCCAATAATATATTTCCATAAGGCTTAGTACAGGTTCAGTCGACCGAAAAAGAAACATTTCATTTGTACACTTTCTGGTGGGCTGAGTCACCCAGTGGCTTTTTATATCTCTTTGGGGCTCCAGTATGAGAGATTTTCCCATCCAATGGGAACTGGGTAATTACTGCCATAGATGTGCGACCTGAGGACTCCACAACAGAGATCCCACCACTAGTGTCCCTGAGGGACACAAAAACCTGTTAGCTGATTTACATCTCCAACATTTTCCAAACACTGCACCTTTAGCTCTAGGGGGAGTGGCCATTTAACATTGTAATGATAATGAAAGTTTAAGTCAATGTAAAACCAAATCATTGTCGGGTTTCTGCTCTCTCTCTCTCTAAGTCCAAGGCCTATTTTAATAAGACGACCACCAGCTTCCAATTCTGCAGGATGGTCATCTCCCTGGGCTACAATCCAAGCCACTGCAGTCAATCTCCCCTGCTGGTTTATTGACAGCCGCTCTGACCATTTAGCAGATGAGAAAGGTACTTCTTGTAAATTTAACGGCATCTTTATATGGACAGCTTGGCCTGTTACAGTTAGTGGAAAAATCATATCTACTATCAGGATCAACATTTAATAAAACTATGTTACAGGGGGATTCAGAAAAGCATACAATGCTATGTTAGTGGTAGTAATAGTCTGCATCATATACAGTATGTAAGTTTTATATTTTGGACCATAGTTATACTTTAAACTATGACTGTGAGTTATTGCATCAGCTTAAAGTACCAAATCATTGTCTCCTGCAAGTTTTACCCATGTATTCAGCATCAAGCTCCACTCTGTGAACTCTCTGTATTCTGAAAGGCAACCACACTGACTGCAGTAGGAGGACAGAACTGAAATGCAAGCCAACAGATTTTTGTGCTGGAAAACTTCAGGTGAGCAATGCTCTAAAGGGCCAAAAAACTCTTGTGTACTGTGATTATAGTTCAGCTGGAGTTATAAAACAAATCGACATTCAGTTTAAATGTGTAGTAATATATCCAGAGGGGAAGTCCTGAATTAAAAGGCCATTAAACCTAAAATTATATATATATAGAT